TTCTAACATGAATGAATATGCTTTGACCTAAACCATTCCATCATAGCTCTGGCTGTATGTTTAGGGTCGTTGTCCTGCTAGAAGGTGAACCTCCACCCCAGTCTCAAGTCTTTTGCAGACTCTAACAGGTTTTCTAAGATTGCCCTGTATTTGGCTCCATCCATCTTTCCTTCAGCTCTGACCAGTTTCCCCATCCCTGCTGAAGAAAAGTATTCCCACAACATGATGCTGCCACCACCATGTTTCACAGTGGGAATGGTGTGTTCAGGGTGATGTACAGTGTTAGTTTTCCACCCCACATAGTGTTTTGCTTTTAAGCCAAAAAGTTCAATTTTGGTCTCATCTGACCAGAGCACCTTCTTCCACATGTTTGCTGTGTCCCCCACATGGCTTCTTGCAAACTGCAAACGGGACTTCTTATGGCTTTCTTTCAACAATGACTTTCTTCTTGCCACTCTTCGATAAAGGCCAGATTTGTGGAGTGCATGACTAATAGTTGTCCTGTGGACAGATTTTCCCACCTGAGTTGTGTATCTCTGCAGCTCCTCCAGAGTTACCATGGGCCTCTTGGCTGCTTCTCTGATTAATGCTCCCTTTGCCCGGCCTGTTAGTTTAGGTGGACGGACTTGTCTTGGTAGGTTTGCAGTTGTGCCATACTCTTTCCATTTTCGGATGATGGATTGAACAGTGCTCTGTGAGATGTTCAAAGCTTGGGATAGTTTTTTATAACCTAACCCTGCTTTAAACTTCTCCACAACTTTATCTGGTGTGTTCCTTGTCCTTCATGATGCTGTTTGTTCACTAATGTTCTCTAACAAACCTCTAAGGGCTTCACAGAACAGCTGTATTCATACTGAGATTAAATTACACACAGGTGGACTCTATTTACTAATTAGGTGACTTCTGAAGACAATTGGCTCCACTAGATTTTAGTTATGGGCATCAAAGTAAAGGGGGCTAAATACAAATGCACGCCACACTTTTCAGATATTTATGTGTAAAAAATTTTTAAACCCATTGATCATTTTCCTTCCACTTCACAATGATGTGCCACGTCACAATTATTTTATGGTCTATTACATAAAATCCCAATAAAATACATTTACATTTTTGGTTGTAACATGACAAAATGTAGACAATTTCAAGGGGTATGAATACTTTTTCAAGGCATTGTATGTATTGCTTGATTTTAATGGTAAACCTAATAAAAATTATTGAAACAGAAAAATTAAAGCAAGCTTAGAAAAATGTATGTGTGCTGGTTGAAAATACTTTCCCCTTAAAAAATGTAAAAATTAAAGTAATTGAATTATACATTTATTAAGAAATATTACGTTAATCATAACATTCACTGTGGCAATTTATTATACAGCACAGAAATATTCTTGGTATATGGAAGGCCATTCAATCACATATTGGAAACCATTCTGATATACAATTATCGCTTATGGCAAAAATTGTATCAGTAATTGTTGTTGCAGAGCATTCCATAAACTGGTATCTGCTAAGCATGCAAATCTGTTATTGGAGAGGCGAGGGCAGAGGAGCAGAGGACACTGGCAGTTGGGGTTTATCCAGGGGAACAATTGTAATGTAGACCCAGAATTTGTTTTTCAGTATGTTTTTGGTGTCATGGCACCTCAAAAAAACTAACAAACATGTCATACATACCTGCTCTGTGTAATGGTCTTGCATCCCTTTATAAAAAAAATTCTCCATGATGTAAACCTATCATCAATGATATTGTCCAGCAATGAAGATCCATGTCAATCACCAGGAACAATGGCCACCAACTCACCAACAGGAGAAAATCCTATCGACTAATAGACACATCCAATGCCATTGTTGACTAGTGTCCAATGACATATCTGGGGTCCTGCCGCTAAAAGTAAAAAAAGAATGGGGTTTCCTGGGTGTCCCCATTGACCAAGTATGGCTGTGGTCATATTTGGTCAATGTCTTTGTTTACATAGTGAGGATTCCTGATTAGTAATAAAATGGGGCCAGGTGACATCACTGGCTGCTAAGGATGTGGCGGATGCTGCGACTTACGCACCACTGCGCCACTTTCTTAGTTATAACTGCCAGATAGGAAGCTTTTATAGATAGTAGCAATGGAAATACTGCTATTATATATGATGTTCGGCTCTCGCCAGACAGGTTAAATGTCCAGTGTTTGGTTGACCACGTGAACACAAAATGTTCAATCCATATTTGTGATCATACCGAACCTTGAACACATCTCTAGCTGTCAGCCTAAAACAAGAAGTGTTGTAGGTACTGTTACTATAGTGAGAATTCCAGGTAAGAAATTTTGCAACAGATTTACAAAAAATTATTTGTTTAAATAATATGTAAACCTAACTTTTCATATTAATGATATGTGCCTGCTGTACCATTTACAAGTAAACTGTTTGTATCGCATCCTTTGTGTGAAATTCCTGGTGTTCCTGTCAGTCCCTCTGCGGAGAGGCTGCCGAGGCATGAGAGCACAGCGTGGTGAGTTTTCTGTCTGTGCTGCTCTCCTCCAATGATCAGACTTTGTGCTCACACCCCCCCTCCCCAGTTATTCACTGGGAAGACCAGTGCGCTGTTTCTCCTTCACCAGCTCTCTGATCTCCTTATGCAGCTGAGAACAGAGGGTATGTGATCACTTATAACAAAGGAAAAAAATGCCTCAAAAAATTGTGTACAGTGAGGCATGATGCCAAACATTTTGAAAAACAGATATTCATTTTACATACCCTTTAACCACTTACCGTCCGGCCCATGTATATAAATGGCCAGACAGGAGCAGTGCAGGGGTGGGTTGTCGTTTATAAACGGCACCCGCATTTTCAGCTTGTGCCCGCTTCCTGGGAACACCGATCGCTGTACGGGACCTCTGTGTGAGGTCCCGGTCACATGATCATTAATTGGCCTATCAGTGATCACATGAATAGTAGTAAGCAAGATGTCACTTCTGACATCATTGCTTACTACGTGTGAAATCTGTGAATGATCAGAGGTCACATGGTACAAGGCTATTCACAGCAGCCTTGCAACCATGTGACAAGCTGTGACCACAGCTCTCGCAGTATTTCCCAATGGCTGCAAGAATGCAGCCAGAGAGAAAGAGAAATGATTGTTTTTCCAGCCTTTATGGGTGTAAAAGCAATCAGTGTTAAAAAAAAAAACAACTCTTCATCACCCCCCACAAGTAGTACAGTGTCACCATGGTGACACTGTACTGCTAGCGTGACAGTATGTTAAAAAAACAAATAATATAACAAAATAAAAATGTAAAACAATTAGAAAAATTATAATTTTTGATTATAAACTAATTTGGGTTATTTGTTTTTACTAAAAAGATAACTGAATACAAGATTTATGAAGAAAGATTATTTATTTGCAAAATGTTATAAGAAAAACACTTTTTTTCAAAATTTTTGAACTTTTTAATTTATATAGCAAAAAAAAAAAAATCCCAGTGGTGAATAAATACCACCAAAAGAAAGTTTTATCTGTCTCAAAAAATGCTAAAAAATTCATATGGGTACAGTGTTGTATGACCGCATAATTGTCATTCAAAGTGTGATAGCACTGAAAGCTGAAAATTGGTCTGGACAGGAAGGGGGTGAAAGTGTCCAGACTTGAAGTGGTCAAACATGTTTTCTACCAAGTCTGATTACTCTCCCCCCCCAACAAAGACTGGACAACGGTGACTGTAGGCATTGCAATTATTTGTTCATCGTCGCGATAGTGCCACATTTATGCCTGGTCTACGAGTGAAAGTTTTGAAAGATTGTGGGTGCATATAGTGTATTCCTATATATCGTCCACATCATCTGATCATTATATCATCAGAGTCAATCAAAAGTTTCCAATTGCATGAAATCAGAATTTCATCCCACACATTGCAATTGAACAGTCTGATTTAAGTGGAACTCCAGTCATAATTTTTCATAATCTGAATGAATGGTACTACAAAACACAAGTTCTGCTGTGCTTTATTACATTGTATAGGTCTAAACCTTAGTGATTATTCCTTTTAGGGAGATTTTGTAGTTAGGTGCTGAAAACTGTGATTCACGTTGCATTTTCATAGTAATAATAAGGTGTACTTTGGAGCCTTTTTCAACCAGGGTGTCCTGGGGTGCCTTCAGATTTCTTCAGCGGTGCTTTGGTAAAATGTCCAAAAATTTACCAAAATTTGTATACAAGCCAGCAGATGGATTAAGGCTACGTTTCAGTTACACAAAGTCACTGGTTTTCATTGTGCACCATTACAACCTTCTAGCGCCAGCATCCTAACAATCAGTGACATGATTGGTTGATAAGAAGGATGTTGGGATGCCTGGACAGCATCCTTGTTTGTCCCTCGCCGCCCTTCTCCATCAGCACTGGGATCACATTAGCTGAGTGAGAGAGAGAAAATGAGAGAGAAGAGAAACATTGGAATACTAGTCAGTACCAGTGTACAAAGGTGTATTTGCTTTGGAAGAATAAATGGCTTTTAACATTGGAAGTCCTAAGAGCGTGGATGTTGCTGCATTATGTAAAACTATTTGTTTTATTTTTTACAATTTAGAATGGGGTGCCTTGAGATTATACATTATTTTGAAATGTTCGGTGACTGAGAAATACTGTTTTGGAGTATGTAGATCACTGCATCCTATGTAAAGTGCACCAAATCTGCTGAAAAAAAAAAACAGTATGTGAGTGCAGCACCAATGCTGAATGTCAATGGCCTCATTTCATTGCGTGAACTTTAGTAACTGTGATAAATAGCCGGGTATGGAAGGGGCATGGATAAAGGAACTGCCCCATTGCAACACAACTGAGCATTCACATAGCTGGAGATAAAATTCATTGCAAATCCTGATGAATAGACATGGGAAAAGCATGGTACAGATCTCTCATTGTCACCCACTCTCCAAGAGAGAGATCTCTCCAAGTATGGCCAGTCTTGTTCAAGTCCAATTAATGGTTTGGTGGTTGGGTGTCATCACCAGCAGCGTTCAGTAGGATATCTCATATACAGGATCTCCAACTTTAATCATCCCCTTCTTCTGAATTCTCACAAATTGTCCAAAGAGTGGAGAGGACTTGTAGACCTCCTTATCCTTGGTATCACACAGCCGGTAACTGTAGAGAAACACAAGTCATTGTAATGGAATCTGCAGGTTGTGGGTGGGCATGCTTTACAACACACTCTCTGGTTCATGTATTAGCAGTCAAAATAAAAAACTGGCTTGAATCTGCTTGGTGGTTGCAAGGAATAACTTAGTAGGCAGCAAGGAACAGTGGGAGTGTTTTAGAATTTCTTTGTTGAATCACAGGGAGGTGTTCCCAGATCACCAACTAAAGGAAGACAGGTAGATGGATGCACTACTACACATGTAGAGAGTTCTGACCATTTATTTTTGTGGAATTTCCGTGACACCATTGTTGGCCAAACAAACAAGAGATCCCTGTACTCAAATCCCAACAGCTAGTGCATGCATTTATCCCATTGTTGGCCATTCGCCCTTTAATGAGAGTAGGCAATAGTGCAGGACAGGATGTAATAATGCAGGAGAGGATGTTAAACGTGCTTCAGCACTGCCTAGGTGAAAGGCTGAATTACTGAACAGACAGGCTATCCTTCGTTCATGCATATGGAAGTCTAATTTTCAGATCTGGCCCAATAGTATTGGCCCAATAAAGAGCAATTAAAGAAGCACTAAATAATATATACTTGTATTATAATTGATAATGTTTTTTATGTACAAATAAGGTAATGATCAATTAAATATGCATGGCAATTATTAAAAAATTTCACACTTCACTATGTAAAGGTTTTTAAAGATTTACAGTCCTAATACACAAATGACTTCTGAACACCACTAGCCTAAAATGGCATCCCAGCAAAATTTTGTATATCAGATATCTCTGCTTTTTGATTTAGCTGATGCCATTCATTCCTAAAGACAGCCCAACCCACCTGCTTTACAGCATACCGCACTACTATACATTTTGGTGCACTGCGTTACAGAAAATAGTGCATGCTCCTTTAATGGTGCCTTTTAGTATTTTTTTGGTGCATTTTGGCATAACACACATTAACACGAGAATTCTAACACACTACAACAAAGCAGACCCAGCCTTATACTTTTGAGTGCATGTTGAAAAATTCCATATTTTTCCTAGACAGACCTGCGCAGCGTCTCCAGTGGCTCCTTCATATTAATAATTCCGGTGTCAGGATCCACTGTGGTCAATATACATCTATAAAAACAGGTATAATACATGTAAATCATAATAAGCAGAATTCATGTTGAAATTATTCATCTTCATTTTTTTTTTACTGATGTCCATCTAATTCTGCCACCTAACATAACCTTGGTGAAACTTAAAGAAAGCCAAAATCATTCTAGGGGAAAAAAAAAGACTTTGAGCTTGTGTATACAAGGGAAACTGTCGACAGAAGGGCAGCAAAACTGAGAAGAGGCATGGAGGAACTCTGCTATGAGCAGGGCTTTTTATCAGTGGGAATGCAGTTCCGGCACCTCCAGCACTGAATGTATGTAATGGCAAGGACTGCTGTGGTGTACTGGAAGGTCTATTGATGCTGGCAGCTGAGGGATGTATTGTTACTGGAGGGGATCTATTTTTGCATGGTGGTCTACTGTTGCTGAGGAAGTCTGTTTTACTGGTGGGGGATCTATTGTTGCTAGAAGGGATCTATTGTTGAGGGAGGGGTCTATTGTTGTTGGCAGCTGGAGAGTCTATTAATTCTCGCTGCTGGGGGATCTGTTGTTGCTGCTGGGGGAAATTGTTGCTGGTGGGGTCTATTACTGCTGGCTGCGCGGAGTCTACTTTACTGTTTTTCTTTTTATCATTAACACCTTCTATTCAAATTACTTAGCACCACAAAATGATAATTGGCTCTGTATTCTCTATAAGGATCCTGTACTGAGAGGTGGGTGGGTAGGGGGTCGAACCAAGGGACTGTGCTTGAAGAAGGGTAGGGGACGGAGACAAGAAGAGATTTAGAAGGAGGCAGTTCCTGCACCTATTCTCTGAGAAAAAGAACCCTTGCTATGAGGAATAAAGTAAGTAAACTGAATATATTCTTTTGTGAACAACATTAATGGGGGATATGATCACAATGTATAAATACATACAATTGTGCTCAAAAGGTTGCATACCCTGGTAGAAATCGTGAAATTTTGGCATTGATATTGAAAATATGACTGATCACACCAAAAACCTGTCTTTTATTTAACTTCTTGCCGACCAGCCACTGTAGAAATGCGGTGGCAGGTCGGCACAGCTGGGCAAAACCACGTTTTAAAATGTGCGTTTGCAAAACAGGTAGGGGGCACGTGCGAGGCACATGCCCGCCCTACTGTCCCGCCGATTACCGGCCGTGTCCCGCCGATTAGTGGCAATCACTGACAAAGAGCAGGGCTGCAGTAGCTCTGCTTTCTGTCAGTCCCCTGTCAACTCCTGACATTCTGATCCAGAGAGAAGAGTTTATCTCTCCGGATCAGCCTTGTTCCCGTGCAGTACACACACCCCGCCCCCTAGTAAAACACTCCCCTCACACAGTTAACCCTTTCAGTAAATAAAAAAGTTAACCCCTTCCTCCCCAATGCCATTAGTACAGTGTCAGTGTTTTTTTTTGCACTGATCACTGTATTGGTGTCACTGGGGATGTCAGTGACCCCAAGTCAGTTCCCCCCAGTGTCAGAATGTCCGCCGCAGTCCCGCCATAAGTCCCTGATCGCCGCCATAAGTCACTGATCGCCGCCATTATTAGTATATAAAAAATAAAAAATCCCAGTATCTTTCCCGCCATTTGTAAACACTATAACTTTCACGTAAGCCAATTAATTTACACGTATTGGTTTTTTTTTTAGCAAAGACATGTCGCAGAATGCATTTTGGCAGAAATTTATGACTAAATTTGATTTTAAATTTTTTTTTTTACTGGACATGTTTTATAGCAAAAAGTCCAAAATATAGTTTTTTTTTCCTCAAAATTGTCAGCCTTTTTTTTTTTTATAGCGCAAAAAATATAAAAAACGCACAGGCGATCAAATACCACCGAAAGAAAGCTCACTTTGTGGGAAAAAAAGGATGTAAATTTAATTTATGTACCGTATTGCATGACCGCGCAGTTATCCGTTAAACTAGCGCAGCGCTGTATAGCAGAAAAATGGCGTAAATTGCAGTATCTATACCATAGTTTGTAGACGCTATAACTTTCACACAAAGCAATCAATATACACTTATTGGGATTTTTTTTACCAAAAACATGTAGCAGAATACATTTTGGCCTAAATTTATAACCAACTTTGAGTTTACTATATATTTTTTATAGCTGAAAGTAAAAAATATAATTTTTCTTCAAAATTTTTGTTCTTTTTTTGTTTATAGCGTGAAAAATAAAAAGCGCACAGGTGATCAAATATCACCGAAAGAAAGCTCTATTTGTGTGAAAAAAGGACGTAAATTTCGTTTGGGTGCAGCATTGCATGACCGCGCAATTATCAGTTGAATTAGTGCAGCGCTGAGTAGCAAAAAGAGGCCCGGTCATTAGGGGGGTAAATCCTCAGGAGGGCAAGTGGTTAAGGATATTGATCATAAGAAGCCATTTATTATCACATAGTTGTTTGGCTCATTTTTAAATCATACTGATAACAGAAATCACCCAAATGGCCATGATCAAAAGTTTCCATACTCTGGAATGTTTGGCCTTGGTACAGACACACAAGGTGACACACAAAGAATAAAATGGCAATTAAAGGTTGATTTCCCACATCTACGGCTTTTTAAATTGCAATTAGTGTCTGTATATAAAAAGTCAATGAGTTTGTTAGCTCTCATGTGAATGCACTAAGCATTCTAGATACTGAGCCATGGGGAGCAGAAAAGAACTGTCAAAAGACCTGCGTAGCAAGGTAATGGAACTGTATAAAGATGGAAAAGGATATCCAAAGCCTTGGATATGCCAGTCAGTACAGGTAAATCACTTATTAAGAAGTGGAAAATTCAGGGATCTCTTGATACCAAACCAAGGTCAGGTCAGGTAGACCAAGAAAGATTGCAGCCACAACTGCCAGAAGAATTGTTCGGGATACAAAGAAAAACCCATTGGCAACCTCAGGGAAAAAAAACAGTGCAGTTGTTTTTAAGGAGCACAATATGATGATACTTGAACAAAAATGAGCTGCTTGGTTAAGTTGCCAGAAAGAACCCTTTATTGAACCAATACCACAAAAAAGTGCAGTTACAATATGCCCGACAACACCTTGACATGCCTAACCGGGTTTTTACTGTGGAAAATACTATAGCTGTATATTAACATTCATAAGTAATAATACCAGCGATTGTTGATCCAGGGAATATCCAATTTCCTTGGGCAATCTGTTAGAGCAAAAAGACCATTCTTTATAAGGGTTTTTTTTGCCTTCCTCTGGATCAACTTTGGGTTTGGAGCTCTGTTTATGGAGGTTTTCATTTTATTTATTCATTTTTTCGCCAGTTGAACTTAATGGCTGAATGAAAGCAATTAACAGAGAAGCACTGGAGAAAAAGTGTTAAAGCCCCTGTCAGATTTTTTTTGTCTGTTTCTTTGTGGAGGAGATTCACACACTTTTGGCTCTTGTGGCCATTGTCACCAAAACAGAAAGTGATGATACATCATTACCAGAACCAGAGGTGGGGGGGAATCTGCCATTGGGGATACCTGTTTTGGTGACAGATGTCTAAGTGGGGGATTCCACTCTGGAGACATTTCCTCCAAAATGAATAGAGTATACAGCAGTTTGAGATTCAAACAGCCATTAGATAGTACAGGAAAGTTCCAGTTTAGACTTTAGTTCATCTCTATATTAGAAAAGAAAACATACGCAGTCTGTATAAATATACTGACCGCGGACAAGGCATGACTTGTTTCAACATCACGCATTCACCAATCTGAAGCTCATTCCAGGAGTCCTACAATCAGAAGATAAAAATATCATATACAGTAGACATGCATTAGAGGGCCATCATTATCCAAACTGTTAAAATAAAAATATTTAATATTTAATAGACATAAAACAAAGCTTACTGTACCTTACCCACGTGGCGGTTTTATTTTATTTTTTTAAATGGCTCTTTATTACTTTTTTCTCTAAGAGTTTCAGCTCTGCCTGAAAATTTTGTAAACAAAATTTTCAGAGAGCAGCAGCAATACTTCTATTTTACCGTTAGGTGGCAATAGAATACAACAATCCACCCCACAACAGCAAAGTGAAGCATTTCCCAACTTCATGTTATGCACCATTTACACAGATGTTAATGATGGATTGTTGATTATCTTAACCTTATGTCCATGCCTGAATTTTGAGAAGGCTGATCTTGTACCTGGTGCATAGAAAGATTTCACATGATTCCATCATGGTGCTTTCTCCATCAGTCACTATAGATGAGTACTTCTTCCCCCAACAGTTGCTAAGGATGGGTAACACCTACCTCATCATTCACTAGGATGAGAAGTACTTCCCCCAACAGTCACTAAGGATGGGTAGCACTACCTCATCATACATTAGGATGAGTAGTACTTCCCCCAACAGTCACTAAGGATGGGTAGCACCTACCTCATCATACATTAGGATGAGTAGTACTTCCCCCAACAGTCACTAAGGATGGGTAGCACCTACCTCATCATTCACTAAAGATCAGTTGTGCTTCCTACTACAGTCACTAAGAATGGGAAGTGCTTTCTGCATCAGTCACTATAGATGAGTAGTACTTCCCCCAACAGTTACTAAGAGGGGAAAGCGCCTACTTCATCTGTCACTAAGTATGGGTAGTGCCTACCTCATCATTCACTATGGAGGGGTAGCATCTACATCATCTGTCGCTAAGTATGGGTAGTGCCTACCTAACCAATCACTAAAGATGCTTTCCCCATCAGTCATTAATGATGAGTAGTACTTCCCTCATCAGTCACTAAGGATGGGTAGTACTTCCCTCATCTGTCACTAAGGATGGGTAGTACTTCCCTCATCAGTCACTAAGGATGGGTAGTACTTACTTCCTCATCAGTCACTAAGGATGGGTAGTACTTCCTTCATCTGTCACTAAGGATGGGTAGTACTTCCTTCATCAGTCACTAAGGATGGGTAGTACTTCCTTCATCAGTCACTAAGGATGGGTAGTACTTCCTTCATCAGTCACTAAGGATGGGTAGTACTTCCTTCATCAGTCACTAAGGATGGGTAGTACTTCCCTCATCTGTCACTAAGGATGGGTAGTACTTCCTTCATCAGTCACTAAGGATGGGTAGTACTTCCTTCATCAGTCACTAAGGATGGGTAGTACTTCCCTCATCTGTCACTAAGGATGGGTAGTACACTACCCATGTTTAATGACTGATGAGGGAATCATCAGTCATTAAACATGGGTAGTGCCTACCTCATCAGTCACTAAGTTGCTTCCCCCGTCAGTCATTAATGGATGGGTAGTGTTATTCCATCAGTCACTTCAGTCACTAGGATAAATTGTGCTTCCCCCCATCACAGGGGCGGACTGACAAACTCATGGGGCCCCCGGGCAATAGGGGATCATGGGGCCCCCGTGTCCTTGCTCACACTCAAATCACACCCAAAAAAGTCTATAAAAAGATACCAGGGGCATTTCATGGGGCCCCCTACTGACCCTGGGCCCTCGGGCAGTGCCCGAGTGCTCGAATGGTCAGTCCGCCCCTGCCCCTGCCCCATCAGTCACCAAAGATGGAAATGCTTCCTCCATTAAAATTTGAATTGAGTACTCTACCTCGGCAAAGGCTTTACATTCAGAGACCACAATGTTTGGGCGAAAGTTTCTGATGGAGACTTTGTTTTCCAGTTTGGAGTTCAGGTCTTCTAATGAAGCTTCAGATAGTAGCAGGAGGGGGCTGAGGTCAGGGTACGCCACCTGATGGACAGTAGAACATTGTCAAGTTAAAAATACGGACAATATTATTGATCATATAGCAGCAAGTTTGCTACTGTCTTAAGTCAGGATATTCATAATTGGATACAAACCTAATGCAGTGTGTATGATTATGCTGGGTGGTTGGAAGGGGGGGCAGTAAAAAAAGTCAGTTGAGCTATATTTTTGTAAGATACAGTTGCAACATACAAAATAATAATAATAATTAAAAAAAACTGTTTTTAAATAAAAGATTTAATTTTCTTTTACATTTTTTGCACATTCATCAACTAACAATGAAACAGAGGGGTTTCTTCTTTATTAAAATGGTGCACCAAAGTAAAACTAAACTTGCAGTGTAAAAAAACTGCTGGCAGATAGATATTTTTGGTAGAAGAGACTTTTTACATCCCTCCCTTTCCCCCTGACCACCTGCAATCTTATACAACTAGTCCACCAACAGCCGTGCGTTATAGATGTCTCAAGTAAATGCCGGGTGCTGGGATGAATTACCTCCCATGGCCATCATGGTTACATCATCTTAAAGCAGCCAATCAAGACTACTGAACTCCGAAGACGACAGGGAAAAGATGGAAGCACCAGTGATGGATTTCTGGTGTTTTACAAGGTAAGTGTGCCATAATGTGCAAATATGCTATGCATACTTGCATATTTTGATGAAACCTCCTACGAAGCTGAATACTTTAGTTCTGCTTTAACTATTCTAACAAAAGTATGGAATTGCTACATTTAGCTTGGCTATCTAGACATCAGTGACCGGTACAGCGACAAGGCACAAGGCAAGAAGCCAGATTGGATCATTCTGGAATTTATCATTGTCCCAGAACAGCAGCATTTCTTATTTCCAAGTGTTGGGAGTTAATACATGCAATTTATCTACTGATCCAATGAAGGGTGCAGCGATTATAATGGCTCACCTGGTCATTTTCAGTATATGTGGCATATTCTTTTTTTGGATTACGGCGCTTCATCTTGTCCTCGAACTGTACTAAGCGGTATGTTTGGACACTCTTTAAGAAGTCTGTGATCCATCGAGATGCTTCGTCTCCACAGTCTCTGCCCGAGACCTCATTCCCATGGACTCTCAAAAATAAAACATAATAGATTCTTTTCTTATCACTTTTTATCTGATTTCTTCTACTGGGTTTAGAGACCATTCACATACCTTTTAATGTCTGAGTTCCTAAACATCATATTTTAAAAGGATGGAGGGGTGAGGCTGATGTAAAAAAAATGTGCCTTTTATAAACTCATGTGCCCATGTGTCTTCAGCTCAAAATCTGTTAGAAGAATATGCTAAAGAGGAATTCTGGGCATTTTGATTTGCCACCTACCTCCCCGCTATACAAACCTTTTTACATATATAAACCTATACATACCTTTTTCCTTCAGTCTTCTACCCACTCCAGTTACATCACAGCAGCTTCCTCTTCTTCCTCCAGCGGCATACATTATTCCAGGTATGAATGGTGCTCACATGAAGGGCTGATGTTAGAAAACACAGGGCCCCAATCAGCCAACCTGACAGACCCCCCACCCCAAACCAAAAAAAAAAAAACAGTTTACTATGCTTCAGTTATGAATTAACAAGGTGAGTAAATGGTACCGATCACTCGCTGTGTCCATTATGGAAAGGAAGGGGCTGGTAAATGTGGTATATTTTACTGGACCCTTCCCCCACACTCCATCCTGAATGCCCCTATTTTGTGCTTGTAACTGTCGGTGGGAAGGAGAGCACTGAAGACAACAGCACACAGGGGGCCTAGATATCAGGGGGAAATATATGGAGCACAAGGAGGATGATGATTGCACTGGGAAGGGGGAGAAATTGGAGGAATTGGGATTAAAAAAGTTGTCTTTCCCACCCCTCTAGGCAGGGCTGTGGATAAGGGGGTATCACCAGTCCTCCCGTATGGGGCCCAGGCCACTTGGGGAGGGGGGGGGGGGCTTGGCAGCTGGGTGAATTGGATGTGGGCAGGAAAGTTACTCGGCATGGTGGGGCAGTTACTGGGACTGATCCCCTGTATGGGTCTCTCTGCAGCAGCTGAAAGCCAGTGGGAGGGAGAAGAGAAGAAGCCAGCTTTCAGCTTCTGCAGAGAGAGCCATACAGGGGATCGGTTCCAGTGACTGCCCCACTGTGCCGATCACAGTCTCTGCCCACATCTGATTCACCCAGCTGCCTGGGCCCCCACAGTGGCCTGAGCCCCGTACAGGAGGACTGTGGTACACCCTTATCCACGGCCCTGCTCACACGCTATTATGGCCTGAGTACTGTAAGCCCAGCCAGTGTAATGACAAGCCACCTTAGGGTGGGGCACGTGAAATGGGCAGAATGATGCAACTGCCATTTTGCCTTGAAAAGGACCCTGGTCCTGGACCATAAGGAAGTTGCGGACAGCTGGAGTGTGGAGAGGGTAAAAATGGCATTAAAACAATTTATGAAATAAAAAAAAAAAAAAAGAACCACACATGTGCATGAGGGTGGGGACAAAGAGAAGGCAAATGTATTAAATACTTTCTTCAGCTCTGTGTATACAAAGGAGCATGGGGGAGCTCTTGTCCATAATGGGCATGGTATTGACACAGCTCCAGGATATCCACATTGGCTCACAACTGATATGATCCAAAAATATTTATACAGAATAAAGGTGAATAAAGCACCTGGACCAGATGGCATACACCCACGGGTCCTTAAAGAATTGAGCTCTGTCATTTCAAAGAAATGGTTTTTAAATTTTAGGGACTCTTTAATGACTGGAATAGTACCACTGGATTGGCGTAAGGTCAATGTGGTGCCAATATTTAAAAAAGGGGTCAACCTTTTTACCAAGTAATTATAGACCTGTTAGTTTAACTTCTATAGTTGGGAAGATACTGGAGAGTTTAATAAAAGACCACATAGATGAGTTCTTGCTGGAAAAAAATATTTTAAGCAACAGACAGCATGGATTCAAGAAAGACAGAAGTTGTCAAACAAATCTGATTTCTTTTTATGAAGAGGTGAGCAAAACCTTGGACAGAGGGGTGGCGGTGGACATAATATATTTGGATTTTGCAAAAGCCTTTGACACAGTTCCCCACACACGACTAATGTGTAAGGTAAAGTCTATGGGCTTGGAAAAATCAGTATGTAAATGGATAGAAAGCTGGCTAAGGGATCGTATTCAAAGAGTAGTGGTTAATGATTCATACTCTGAATGGTCTAGGGTTGTCAGTGGTGTACCCCAAGGTTTAGTGTTGGGACCCTTACTTTTAAATATATATTTAAAAATGATATAGGGTCTGGGATTAAAAATACAATTTTTAACAGTCTTTGCAGATAACACCAAGCTTTGCAGTGGAATAACGTCAATACAGGATGTCTTCAATTTACAAGCCAACCTCAATGCACTATGTAATTGGGCAACTATGTGGCAAATGAGGTTTAATGTTGATAAATGTAAGGTGATGCACTTGGGGGGCTAAGAATATGCATGCATCATACATACTAGGGGGGGGTACAACTGGGGGAATCAATGGTGGAGAAGGATCTGAGAGTTCTGGTAGACCACAAGCTTAATAATGGCATGCAATGCCAAGCTGCGGTTTGTTCTAAAGCGAGCAAAATCCTCTCTTGTATTAAAAGAGGTATAGACTCCAGAGAGAGAGAGAGAGAGAGAGAGAGATATATTTCCCCGGTACAAATCATTAGTAAGACCTCAGCTGGAATATGCAATTCAGATTTGGGCTCCAATTCACAAAAAGAACATTGGGGAACTGGAGAAAGTACAGAGAAGGGCAACTAAACTGATAAGAGGCATGGAGGAGATCAGCTATGAGGAAAGATTAGAGGAACTGAATTTATTCTTTCTTGAGAAGAGGAGATTAAGGGGGGATATGATCAACATGTATAAATACATCAGTGGTTCATATAGTGAACTCGGTGTAGAGTTATTCACCCTGAGGTCATCACAGAGGACAAGGGGGCACACTTTTTGTCTGAAGAAAAATAAATTTCATCTCCAAACAAAGAAAGGTTTCTTCACAGTGAGAGCTCTGAAAATGTGGAATAGACTCCCTCATGAATTGGTTCTGGCCAGCTCAGTGGATTGCTTTAAAAAAGGCCTGGATTCTTTCTTGGATACACAGAATATAACTGGATACTAACATTTATAGGCAAAGTTGATTCAGGGAATATCCGACTGCCTCTTGGGGGATGAGGAAGGAATTTTTTTCCCTGCAGGAGCAAATTGGATCATGCTTTGCTGGGGGTTTTTTTTGCCTTCCTCTGGATCAACTGTGGGTGTAGGATTATAACTTTTTTTTTTGTAATGGTTGAACTGGATGGACTTTTGTCTTTTTTCAGCCAGACTAACTATGTAAAATGTGAAGAATCAAGGTATCGTCACACCCTCTAGTTACATGCTGGTATATTATATGGTCCCTGTCTAAATTGACCCTAGTATTTATATGTATGGATTTGAAGTAGGAACCTTAGACTGTTAGCTTATGAAAACCAGGGACTGATGTGAATGTCCAATATATAAATTGCTACTTAAGTTGTCAGCACTATATAAATACCTGTAATAAACAGTAATAAATGATACTGATATTTTTGAATCAGCAAGTTTAGAAATGTAGCTTCTGCTAAAAGTAGAATGGTGTTTATAGGATTCAGTAGCTCAAGCTGAGCATGAGGGCTAATTCATCCAAGGCTTTAATCAGACAAACTGAGCCATCAATCCATTTGTTCATCTCTATTTCTGTTCTGTTTTATTGTGTGTGCATGATACTGATGCAGATGTATATCCTTGCTCTGTGTAGCACTATGGAATAGGTGGGCGACATATATATATTTTTTTCTAGGATCCAGATACATACTTGCAGGTAAAAATAGAATTTCTTGTTGGTAGTTTCAAGGGAATGTCCAGTTTATTCATTCCTGGTGCACTGAGAGTTAAGTGTCCTTTATGACAGGTTAGCGTTATCAGCACCATGCGAGGCTCCTGTCTGGCGGTAACATGAACTTTGTCTTCCTTTACAACAAGCCAATGTCTGCAATGATATCAGAGAGACAGAAAAGGGAAAAAAAAAAAACAAAATGAAAGAGGACACAAAAGGGGGAGGGGGACGAAGAGCAAAGGGGATAGAAGGATAAGAAGGGGAGGGGGAGAGTGGGGAAGAGGAGAGGGGAGGGAAAGGGGGGCAGAGAGGTAAAACAGAAAAAGATGGAGCAGGCCAGGATGGAGGAGGGGGGGGGGGAGGGAGAAGAGAGCATGGAGAGGAGGTGGGAGAAATGGGGTGGGCGAGGGGGAGGAGAAGAGAAAGGAGTAAGAGAGAAAAAGAGGATGTAGGCAATGAGGGGGTGATGAGAGAGAAAGTTAGAGGGGGAAGAGATCATTAGTTACTTTAGTATGAGACTAGTATGTCCAGCATTTTACAGGTAGACGGGCAGACTAAGGACGAGACAAGGTGGCCCAAACCCGTGGAAAACACAAAAGCAGGGTCACACAATAGAAGACAATTTGGACAATGTCATTGACCACATATGGCCATGTGGTCATATTAGGTCAATGATGTCACCAACATTTGTTATGTGCGGCTGCAGGGCTGCAATCGTGAGACAGTTTTTCGTGGATGTATTGAGTGTTGGATGCACAACCCCAGCAACGCACAAACAAGTGCTTCATTCCCTACCAACACATGCACAATCTGGTCTCTCTTGCAGCTCAGAGTTCTGTTAGAGTGAAAGAGGGCCAGCCGTGCATGCATGGGTAGCTAACAATCCCAGGAGCTCCTTTGTGATTTTCTGGGGCCATGAACCTAGATTGTAAGCTCCCAGGATCAGGCCCTTCTTTCCCTCTTGTATTGAATTGTATTGTTGCTGTATTGTCTCCTGTTATATTGTAAAGCGCTGAGCAAACTGTTGGCGTTATATAAATCCTGTATAATAATAATACTGATCCAATGTTTAGCACATCCTGTCATCAGTAAGACAGAGAGGGGAGGGCAATGGAATAAGCACCTTGAAAAGTAAGCATCCTTTTGCAAAACAGAGAACTGCATATTAATGTACTGAGGAAGCTCTAATGCATAGGAATACATTTTGGCAAATGTCATAAAGGCCTTGTTCTCATGGGCATACTCCAGCACAGGGGCAGACTGACCATTTGGAAACTCGGGCACTGCCCGAGAGCCTGGGGTCAGTAGAGGGGCCCATGAGGTGCCCCTGCTACCTTTTTTCATAGGCTTTTTTGAGCTTGGGCAAGGACATGGGCCCCATGATCCCCTATTGCCCGGGGGCCCCATGATCCCCTATTGCCCGGGGCACCATGAGTTGTCAGTCCGCCCCTGCTCCAGCATACACCAATGCGAGGGCCATGGTTGCACAGGTGTTCTATGCATCTGTGCAGTCAATTGGGAAGCAGCAGCTGCACAGAGACAGCAGCTGATCCCAATTTGATAGTCATGTGGGTGCGAGTGCACAGCCCGGAACACACGGGTTAATTTACTAAAGGCAATTAGACTGTGCACTCTGCAAGAGCAGTTGCTCTAGAGCTTAGTAAATGGGGTAAAAATTCCCTTTGCAAAGAATACCAAATCACATGGAAGGAATTTTTTTTTAAAAAAAGCTTTTTTGCATGCACATGATTGGATGAAGGAAGTCAGCAGAGCTTCTGCACATTTACTAAGCTCTGGAGCAACTGCTCTTGCAAAGTGCACAGTCTATTTACCTTTAGTATATCAGCTCCTAAGTGTCTGCATTGGGGGCTGTGCACACACGCTGGCTTAAAGCGGAGTTCCACCTAAAAAATTTTTTTAAAAAACTGTAGCTTCTGACTTTTAAAATACAGCCACTTACCTGTCCTTCGGTCCAGCGGTGTCCTCCTCACTACGGCTGGTTTCACAGACCGTCTTCTCTCCCTGGCACCGGCATCTTCAGTGAGGGCACCCGGCTGTGACAGCTTGTGAATGGCCCCGTAGTCTTCTGGGACCTGTCACGTGTCCCAGAAGACTACAGGGAGGGAGGGGGAGAGGACATCTTCCGCTTCCGATCGCCTAGGCAATCGCAGCAGAAGTGGGTGCGGGTACCTGTCAAATTCGGTTACCCGCTCCCCAAAGGTGCCAATCCTTAATGGGGAGCGGGGGACAAAGGCTTAAAGCAGAACTTCCCCTTTTGGGTGGAGCTCCGCTTTAAGATTGGGAGCAGTCGCTGTATCCATTCATAGGATCTCAGCTGATCCCCATCCCAGGAATTTCAGTTGCAAAGAAGACAACACTGGACTGCCTGGACTAGTAATTATGCTTTTTCTTTTATTATAATACAGGGACTAGTAAAGGTAGGTTGAGGTTCATCTTTAAAGACCTTTCTTTATGGCCACATTTCCCTGCATGGGGATGCACGGGTGTTCTGTGCATCCCCATGCAGGCAGTCCCATTGTGTCATTTAGGATCAAATCCCAACCATGGCACTACCTGCCTTGTGTCTGCATGTTCTCCCTGTGCTTGTGTGGGTTTCCTCCGGGTACTCCGGTTTCCTCCCACACTCGAAAGACATGCTGGTAGGTTAATTGGATCCTGTCTATATTGTCCCTAGTATGTGTATGTATGAATGTAAGTTAGGGACTTTAGATTGTAAGGTCCTTGAGGGTTAGGGACTGATGTGAATGTACAATATATATGTAAAGTGCTGCGCACATTGACAGCACTGTATAAGTACCTGAAATAAATAAAATAAATTGGGATGTAGCAGCTCCACAGACACAGCCACTGCTCCCAAGTTAACATCCATACATGTGCTGTTACATGGTCCTGTACACACAGTGTACATTTAGGGCCATGCACACGAATCCACACAGGTGTCAGAATGGGAGCAGCAGCTGTGTCCGTGCAGCCACTGCATCCCAACTGGCATGAATGGGACTGTCTGCAATAAGATGCACAGAACACTTGCAGGTAAAAACACCCCTATAATACGCCCATGTGAACCACGTCTAGCCTTTGCCAAAAAAACAAATGTAATGTACATTCACATGTGTTTATTAACATTACAAGATGGACATTGATGGGAACGGGTCCTAAAAGTGAAAGATTGCACACTATCGCTGAACTTTGCAATGCCTTATTGAACTCAGTGAGTCCTACAACACTGTAGTAGCAGAGTCTTCATACCTGTCACTGAACTCTCCATTCTTCAGCCCATACTCCCTACACTCCGCTTCTTGAAGGGGGATCCCTTTGCATGACTTTACAGGGTAGAGGAACAGCTGTGAGATCTGCCCCACCTTCCTCACATGCTTCTTCTTCCTCCTGGACAGGAGTAGCCAGGTGACAGCCACTGTGGCACCCAGCCCGGCCAGGCCAATCAGGAGGGTGCGGTGCTTCGAGAGAGCCTCCATAGCTGAGTGTAGGACAGACTTGCCTTCCAGAATTTATATCGCATTCCAATCCAGCAGAACACCACTCCGCCTAACTTCACAGGACAAAAACAACTGACGTGGCTCCCTTCCCAGCCATTGGAGCCACCTACTGTTATGTTAACTATTTCCCATACTCTTATTTTACAAAGAAAGAACATGGTTCTATTGAAAATGGATTATGTCTACTGTGGCCCTCTTTAGGTTAAATATAAACAGTGATTTTTTTTACATGCACCAATAAGCACATATATATATATATATATATATATATATATATATATATATATATATATATATATATATATATATGACATATTTGTAATTTATTTAAACATTTGCAAAACCAGAAGTTTGTAGAGACCTGTCCTCCTGCCCCAGCAACCATGGACTCTTTACATGAGCACAGGGAAATCTATTTATAATAATCCCTTAAAAGGAATGTATAGCAGTTTTGTACATATCCATTTATTATATATTACAGTCAGGACCAAATGAAATTACATTTCTAAAAGAGGTTTTTGTTTAGTTTGGTAAAAATGAACTATTGCATATGAATACTATGTAGTCTTTTATCAAGCCAGCAGAGGGACCTCTAAGTTCCTTTTAACATGCTTGAGTGCACATTTGCATTTCTCTAGGCCAGCCTTCCTCAACCTTTTCAACGCAGAGGAACACTTGACATAACTTTGCGGTCTCAGGGAACCCCTGCTAAAAATGACTATATCTACAATTCATGATACATTAGTGTGATAGTGGTAAGAATGTTCCTTACACTTGTGGTCATTGGGAAGAATTCCCCCTTACAGATAGCTAAAAAGATCAATGGTGTCAGTGGGAACTTACCTGAGAAGCAAAAATTGCTCATTGCTCAAGGAACCCCTGGCAACCTCAGGAGGAACCCTGGTTGAGAAACCCTGCTCTAGGCCTTGCAGTGTGTAATACCACTCTGTAGCATGTGTTGCTTTAAAGCAGCCTTTTTCAACCAGGGTGCCTTCAGGCTTCTTCAGGGGTGCATTGGCAAAATGCCCAAAAACTGTATACAAGCCAGCAGGTGGAACAAGTTTGCCTTTTAGTACACAAAGCCACAGGTTTTCATTGTGCACTTTTATGACCTTCTAGCTGCGGCATCCTAACAACCAATGATACCATCAGTTGATAAGGAGAATGTTGGGTACATGCATCATCTTTGTTTGGCCCTCCCCTGCCCCTCTCCGTCAGCACTGGGGTCACATTAGCAGAGTGAGGGAGAGAAAATGAGAAACACACACTGGAATACTAGTCAGTACCATTGTGCAAAGGTGTATTTGCTTTGTAAGAATAAATAACCTCAAATGTTGGTTGTACTGGATGTGTGCAGAATAGGTTTTTACATTTTAGATTGGGTGCCTTGAGACTGTGCAGAATTTTAAAGGGTGCCTTGAGATTATGTCAAACAACAAAAAAGAAAAATTCCCAGCTCTAACTTGCCAGCTTGCAAACAAACCAAATTAACCTGTCTAACAGTATGCTTTAAAAACAGGGGTTTAGTTAGCACACAATGTGTAGCATAAGGTTATACCTGGACACTACAGAGGTTGCACAAGCAGTCCAACTCCTCCAGGATGGCACATCAATACGTGCCCTTGCCAGAAGGTTTGCTGTGTCTCCCAGCACAGTCTCAAGAGCATTGATTGCTGGACAGGGCTGTAGAAGGTCCTTAACCCATCAGCAGGACCAGTATCTGCTCTTGTGTGCAAGAAGGAACAGGATGAGCATTGCCAGAACCCTACAAAATGACCTCCAGCAGGCGACTGGTGTGAATGTCTCTGACCAAACAATCAGAAACAAACTTCATGAGGGTGGCCTGAGGGCCCAACGTCCTCTAATGGGCCCTGTGCTCACTACCTGGCACCATAGAGCTCGATTGGCATTTGCCATTGAACACCAGAATTGTCAGGTCTGCCACTGGCACCCTGTGCTTTTCACAGAGCAGGTTCACCCTGGGCACATGTGACAGACGTGAAAGGGTCTGAAGAAGCCGTGGAGAACGTCATGCTGCCTGTAACATCGTTCAGCATGACCGTTTTGGTGGTAGGTCACTGATGGTCTGGGGAGGCATATCCATGGAGGGACACACAGACCTTTACAGGCTAGACAATGGTATCCTAACTGCCATTAGGTATCAGGATGAAATCCTTGGACCCATTGTCAGACCCTACACTGGTACAGTGGGTCCTGGGTTCCTCCTGGTGTACAACAATGCCCAGCCTCATGTGGCGAGAGTATGCAGGCAGTTCCTGAAGGATGAAAAATTGATACCATTGAATGGCCCCCACATTCGCCTGACCTAAATCCAATAGGACACTTCTGGGATATCATGTTTCCGTCCATCCAATGCCGCCAGGTTGCACCTCAGACTGTCCAGGAGCTCAGTGATGCCCTGGTCCAGATCTGGGAGGAAATATCCCAGGACATCATCCATTGCCTCATTAGGAGCATGCCCCGACGTAGTCAGACATGCATACAAGCACGTGGGGGCCATACAAACTACTTTGTACCGTTTTGAGTTGCTGCAATGAAATTTCAGCAAAATGGACTAGCCTCCTGCATAATTTTTTCACTTTGATTTTTGGGGTATCTTTGAATTCAGTCCTCTGTAGGCTGATAAGTTTTAATTTTCAGCAAACAATGGGGCATCCTTACATTCCTAACACATTATCCAGTCCATATCAGTATAGATATCCAGCATGATATTTTCCCCCCATTGAGATCTGATGTGTTTTCAAAGTGTTCCTTTACATTGTTTGACCAGTGTAGTTTAGAATATAGACATATTGGGCTCCTCCTCTTCCCAGAATGTGAGCCTTTCAATTGGGGGAATGAAGGTATTGGCAGAGCTTCAAATATAGGGCTGGAAGGTGCCATGGCATACACAGCACCCTAGGTGTTGCGGCTTTTAGGGTGCTGTGAAGACTAGATAGCACAGAGATTGCTTCTTGGTTTATCTAAGTGAAAAGTTTGAATTCAACAGAACCTGTGAGAATAAAAAGTATAAGAGCTGTCATAGCTGACTCCACTCCCTAGTGAGTCACTAACCTTGAGCAAACATGCACACAGTGAAGTCTTTAATGTACACATATTTGTTCCAGGTCAGTGGAGCTTGCACCTTAACTTAAAGGGACGCTGTCACCTTGCCCATCCAGGGTAGACGGTGTCTGTTTAAAGCCACCTTGGCCATTTTATACTCCTCTCTAAAGTGATCCTCCCTCCTTGGCTGCCACTTTAAAATACCATGTGCTTCCCACGTATGGAGGTGCATGTAACCTTCTCCCATGATGCCCAGGCCCAGTATTGATAAGACAGAGGGGTGACCCTCCATTTCCGTTCTGGCACCGGGTATTTTGGTGGCAGCTGCAGCAGAGGAAGGAGCACTGGGGAGCCCTGGAGAGGTGAATATCAGTGGGTCAGAGGGTGGCCTGTTCACACACACAGTCATTTTTAACCAAAAGATGACAATGTACCTTTAGGTTATCATTGAAACAAATTCATTTGTTGGCCAAATCTGGGAAAGAAAAGAACTTTATTTACAAGCAATGTACATCACCATATCATACAATGTACAAGAAATGCGGGTGAAATTTTTTACAGTCCTCATGGCAAAAGTTGCAATACAGCATAAATATTAAAACACAGATTTGTTTCAGAATTATTGGATGACTTATTACACTGAAGAAAATGTAAGGGCCCATTCAAACTAAAATGTACGTTGCCGCAATGCATGGAAAACACACCTGCTCTATGTGCAATATGGTAGCACTCATTGTGAAAGGCACCCCTGTGTGTGGTACAGTACAAGACACAAAACACACGATGGTAAGTTGCATTACAACAAAAGGGGAAAGCACGTTTTTTAATCCGTTGTGGTGTATTGGCAACCCATTTATAATGAATAGACTGCCTAAAGCAACCCACACTAAAATACCATTTTATTGTCATTAGGCCCTCCAATGCATCAAAAATGGAACATTTGCCCACAATATACAATCAAATTGTAGAGGAGAAAGGAATGTTACAGATAGAAGGTCAATGTTTCCTCCCATTATAAATTAAGCTTTCAATTTCTAGCAATGAAGAGAGATTCACAAGGACATATAGACACATCATAAGTTGTTTTTTGCATCATTTAAAAAAAAATTATCTTTGAATATATGTTATATTTAAAGTAGAATTTCAGCCTAAACCTAACTAGTCGTAAAAATGTCCCCTCCTCCCTTCTAATACATATACTGACTAATTTGTGTAAGAAAGATGTATATATGTAACTGTTTTCAGTTTCCAGTCCAGTCCAGGCCAGTCATGTGATCCAGCTCCCCTGTGTCAGCCAGTAGCTGCTGCTGGGAAGAGGAGGGAGAGCCAACAACAGCTGGGGCATGGGAGCCTATGAATGACGTCACCGCTCCTGGAATTCCCAACTATTGATGAGTGCTCTCTCTTCTCCCCTGCAGTCACCGCTGGTTGACACTGGAAATCATGTGATTGGAGAGGGCTGAAAATAGGTAAGCATATACATCTTTCCTAAACAGGTTAGTCAGCATAAGTGTTAGGAGGGGGGATGGAACATTTTTAAGACTAGGTTTAAGGTGATATTCTACTTTAATATTTCCCCTCTTAGATTTTTGTCACTAGAACAGTTGTCCCCGTTACAGGATTTCTCCTCACGTCTCGTTCTGGTGACAACTGTAACATTTTGTAAATCCCATCACTTTTTGTCTCTGTGACAGTCATCACTAAAGCCTCGTAAACATGATCAGAAAATCAGACAACAAATACCGCTTTCAAAGCAATCATATGATAAATCTGATCATTAGTACGCAGCTTTCAATCGCGACAGCTCATGTGAAATTATCCGAAGGGACAAACACAAAAATGTTTCTAGTCTGATACCACAACAAATGATTTTCATTTAATCAGTACAGCATTCGTCTGGAAAATCAGAAGAC